ATCAGCCTCTTATAAACGCACCAAGTTTGTGAAGCAGAACGGGTGCAGTTGCAGTTCTCTTCTTGCCTACTGAATTGATAAATTCGCATTAATTTACCACTGTGTGATCGAGTAGTTTGTGTTAAATTCATTTAGGCATTCGCAAGAATGAAGTTTTCTGAATGTATGCGACTATGATAGCGCGCTTACACCCACGTTCTCGACGCACAAAAATGTCATCGACAAAGCATGTTCAATTTCATTTCATGTAAACAAAATAATGCGCTCTTGCACGCATCAGTGCCAAACCGTCATCCCTTTCCCAACTTCGATTAGACAAATATCCCTCTGTCGAGAATGGTTTTTGTTAACCGTCCGTTTTAAAGAACACGTTCTACAACATGTTGCAATGCCGGGGACACTGGTGCAATCCGCTGTGTCTCTGCACGTCCAGCAACTCTCACCCGCCTCCGATCGGGCGTGTGGCAGACGAAGCACCCTCGTGTTAAAGTCCTGTGCAACGCAGGCTAATTGAAGCAGTGTCGTTAGTTGAGCTGGCTCTTCGGCGGCCCTGCAATTATACTCCTGTGAGCTCGCCCACGCTCAGCCAGCTCAGCTCCCTCCGGCCGACAATAACCATCTCCAGCCGGAAAATAGGTTTTAAATATAGAACCTGTGCAACGCCCTCCGCGCCCACAGCAGTGAGCGCGGCGGCAGGACTAGCTGGTCGGCAGCATTAGCTAGCCGGGTTCTTTGGCATCAGGTGATGATGATGTAATAGCCCAACCGGAATAAACCACCCTTACCATAATCAGCCCATTAGTCCTTAGCGTTTTGCTAAGGGCTGCCTGAAGTACAGGCGGCTGAACCCAAAGCTTTCGATGACACGTACCTATCAACAGCATGAAGGGGACTTACCCACGGATGCCAGTGCTCACCACGAGGACTAGAACGCTCTTTTAAAACTTATAACTAAACGACGTTGTTCAAAATTCGTGTCAGACTGTTCAAAAGCCAAGCGTAAGAGTGTCAAAGTCGCAAGACGAGGCTTGTATGTTTAGCCTCCAGCGAAGATTATGACTGTGCATCAATTATCGTGATGTCCCAACATCCGCGTAGACTCATGCTGTTGCTACAGTTTCTACTTTAACGTAAGTTTTCATTGTACAGAGTTCTATCGATACGTATCAGGCTTTCACGTGTTTACCAAGTGATGTGTGCGCCGTCTGCAAACATGCGTTTCCAGTGTGTTCATGAAATCGGTCACCAACGCCGCGTCTCGTTTTGCCCTCATTGCAATATCCCCCCACTGGGGTTATAAGAGACCATGTGTACTGCGCTTTTGCTAAAGCATTTTCCTATCAGCCGATTTCCGCGCGTGTGGCGAGCCCTAATCCCAGCTGGACATGCTGGGGTCCCGAGCGCTGATAGAACTGGCATGCGCTGAGATTGGCACCACCAGTCCATACTACTCTAAGGCCGTGTAAACCACTCGATGGTATTGTGGCATTGGCCTGTTGGTACGGCTTGCCATCCCAACCCAGAAGTTTCACATTTAGACAGGTTGCTTGTCTCACATTTCCACGACTTCATCGCGAGTCGTTTGTATTGTTAAAACGGGACGTATGCAGAATTTCACCACTGGTGGTGGTTGTGGTGGTTGTGGGTAGGGGGTAGGGCGCAACGGAAAAATAAAAATAGGGCTAAGCACTTCGCAGAAGCACGCAATTTCCTGCGTGTCGTAAAACAGCATCGCAAGTTGTCGACCTAGTTATTTTGAAGCGCGTGCCTGGAATTTTTAACTGGCAGCTTTAGGTTTCATACATATTGGTACACACAGATAAGACAGCCAATAATAGCTGCATTCCTCGGAGAAAAACCCGGAGAATGGATATAAAGATGCGTCGATACTTCGGCAACATGCCTTTATCAAAACAATAGCAGAAGTGACGTGCCGAAATAGCAACGCATCTTTATCTGCATTCTCCTCTTTTTCCGAGGAATAAGGTCATAACTGCTGTCTTATCTATGTGAATAATGTTCCTCGCAAATGCACTTAGCCACTTACATACTGGTACACCCCATAAATCCGGTAATGGGATGGAGTGAGGCGTGCTCCTGCGAGCTGCTATGTGCGTACACCCCGCTTTTTAATCGATAGCGTGCTGCACAGCAGCCCTCACTCTTAGAAAACAAGGTGCGTGCATTCTCACAAAAGATGCACACGCTGCTCTCTGCATTTGCTGTTCAAAGTATGCTTTGTTCGCAGCCACTGGGTGTGCGGAATCATAATGCAGCAAGATGACGGCAATGTATTCAAAGTTAAGTTTGGTGGTTTATCTTCCATTTTATTGCGTCATAAACAGGCTGTCGAGGATTGGAATAAGTTTTGGAATTGGAATTGGACACATTTCGCGTGACGTGTTCCAGAGTGGGAGAAATATAAACGTTTTGCTCACTGATTTTGCAAATAAATCTGACCTGGAACACAGCGAACGTCGAACTTCCCCAATATCACTATTACTTGCTTGATTACGTCGCTTAGACAGAACCTTGTCGCAAACTGAAAGTTGATCAATTTTAACTAACTTTAACGCATGATGCCGAAACATCACAAGCGCGAGGGGTGTCCTGGTTACATCAACTTCCAACTCATGTCAAAGCGCTGGTCGCGCTTCATATGAAGATGACTAGTCCTATGTCCCGACCGATCACCAACATTTACCTTACCGGCTCTTCGGATAGCGTTATGCCTGCTGAGTTCATGCAGTCTCAGTCCCACTTTTAGATGTCGGTGCTTTCTATCAGTGGACGAGATACATTTTATTCAGCCTGTCCATTGAAAATGCAAGATGTGCACACTTTTCGCTAGCTTTGTTGGCGTCGGGAACACGAATTTCCGTGTCCGAAATTCGGGGAGAAATCAGGTTCAAGGAAGGGTTGGTCAACCTTGTCAAGAAGGCCCCCACCGAATTAAAAATGACACCCTGTCTACAGCGGCCAACACCGTTCGGTTAACTGCAACTCTCGGTTTCCTTGTTCCTAAGGCGGCCATGGCCCAGGCTCAAAACTTCTATGGAATATGAGTGCCAAGTCGATCCTGAAAAAGGATGGACATTTGCCGAGAGGTGTTAACATTTTTCATCGTTAAAATCTTTCGATCCGCCCTATCGAACACCAATAGGACCTCTTGCCCTTTTTCGGGCACACATCAGCGTTCCCGATTAGCGGCTGAAGGGCCATTTCGCCCAACGCGAGGTGTCGGCCGGCTGCTATTCTGACAACACGGGGCGGGGTCTTCTGGTCGAACTGGAGGCCCTTGGATGGATGCATCAATCATCGGTCCTCTCCCGGACGTGGGAGGCCCTCTCACACAGACAGTTCGACGCAGCCCCGGATCGACGCAGGGACCCTCACTGCCGCAAAAATTATCTATGGCCGCAGGGGTTTTATAATTGGTACGTAGACTCTGGTTCGGCTCATCGAGCCCTTGACTGGAATGGGATGAAGAACCCTTGTAGTACTGGAGTGTAAAAACATCGCCTTTTCATCTACGAACAGTCCACTTTGCGGCCCTATACCGGCCACCGTCTACCAGCCATACATAACCGCCCTCTGCATACGCTGGACCCGCTATCCAAATGACCCACCCGCGGTTGGGTAGCACGGGATCGCATCCCCTGACTAACACAGAAATCTCCCATTGTCTCTTTGCGGACCCTTATGATAAGCGCTTATGTCGTCTTTCATTGTGGCAGGGCTGCGACTGACCCTAGAAGCCCTCTGGCATTCAGGGCCCCGTCCCTGGTGGTCCCTACGCTGTGCTCGTTCAGCAAATGTTTCCTTGGGCAACTCAGGACCCCTTGCCGACAAAGGACGCTCGTTTAGGTACTGTGGCCTCTGACCGACAGAGTGACCCCTCATTGTTTCATGGGCCTGACCAATGCAAGGCCACCCAGGGTTCAGACCAACACGGAGTCGACTGGTCGGTGTTGGTGATCTCTCGCCGAAACAGAGGCCCGCGTTTCCCAGGGGTCCTCAATCGGTGCAAGACGGACATTTGACAGACGGATGGGTTGATTGTTATTCGAGGTTCCTGACCGTAGGGCCGGAATCGTTAATGCGACCTACAGCCAGCCCTTCAGGACCTTCGGACGTTCAGACCCTTAAGCCCTACAATGAGGCTATTGATCCTCGGTCCTGAGGGGCTATTCGGTCCCCTTTTCGTGCCACAAAACTGCCCCTGGAAGACTTGTGGCCCTTGTCAACACAGGATCCCCTTTTCCGCGCTGTGGACCTCTGGCCCACAAAGGGCTCCTCGTTGACTCGGGAGCTCGACCAATGAAGACCCCAGGCCTTGTCTCTGATTGGGAATATGACTCTTAGGCCTAAGCCGACACGGAGCCGACCGCTCGGTACTGATGGTGCCTGACGGACACCGAGGCCCTCATCAGCTCAGGAGCCCCCAATCAACGCAAAGGATCTTTTGAATGACATTCGATGGTCTGGCCCTGCGGGCCGGAGCCCCTTTATGCGATATTCGGCCAGCCCTTCGGGCCTTGATCGCCGGTCCCGCGGGGATGCTCAGACGCCTCGGACGTGAGGGGTGCGCCCTAAGCGCGTACCCAAGTACGCTCCCCCTGTGCCACCACCCCTGCGCCGCTGTAGCCGCCTTGTCTCATTCTGCTACGCTCAATTTCCATTCCTAGTTTGCTCTTAACTAGTTCAAAATGCCAATCAAAGTCGAAGCTGACAAAAGGCTCTGAAAAGGTTCATTTCGTGTCACATGTTGCACATCAGATAGAGGCTTTACTGATGTGCAGGATGTGCAGTATGTGACTGCACATCACTAAGGCCTTACTTTGCTTCCTTAACACTATCCCACCAATACGCCAGTAAGCACTGGCTGCATTGAACACGCCAGTAAATGTTGGCTGCGCTGACAAGTGAGGGAATCTTGGGCAATGAATGGCTCATACCTTCCCATGTGTTTTATTACTCATGGATATCGGTTGTGATGTATGAGGTATGGTTTTTTTGCAAACCAAGAAAGGCTGAGCGTACGACATTTTCACAATGACAAGTGCTACACAAGTACAATGTATCCATATTATGGCCCATCCACCCACTGCTCAATAAAGTCAGGCTATGGTTATGAATATTTGGGTTGTTTTTCTTGGATTTCGGTGGGATGTTTGCTTTAAACTGTTCAGTATGTGCAGCCTGGTTTATTGATGTCTTGTGTCTACCACGGGTTTCTCTCGCTGGGGCTCTTGTTTTAGAGATAAAGATATGACTGCTTCATGATTGTTTTGTGTTTGCCAACACATTTTAGTTTTGGTATGATCTTCAATCTCAAGGAATGGAAAGAAATGTACTATTTCGCCTGTTGAAGTTTTCGACCCGCAAAAGCCCGCAAAGACTGGTCCATAACCCAGCCAAAAGGTCGCGGGCTCTTGCAAGTCAGAAATTGGTGGGTTGGCGGACTGAAAAGTTGCATCTCTAGTCCACAGACACATCCGCTGTTCATTCCTAATCCGCGGCATCCACCCGCTTCCCATCCGCTTGCATTGGTCCAGGATGTTGGTTCCCAATAGCGGGAAAACCGGAGGAAGGCTCATATCAAAGCAAAGCAAACTACTCTTTCACGTTAATAACTGCAAGAGTGGTGTGGATGAAGCTATAAAACTGAACATAACTAAAAGAAGCGCAAGAATTAGCATTGTGTACGATTTCTTAAAGCAACTGCATGACTTTTCCGTAAAAATCCCATCGTTACTCCACCCATGCCGCTAATTTTTCCCAAACCGAACCGAACCAAACCCCTCACCCATTCCACACGGACACCTTGGGTTTGTCCAACTACCTGTTAAGTTTTCTTACATGAGGACATCGCTTCTTACGGTCGTTTTTCATCCGAATGAAACAGACTCTACAATGCGCACTACCTGTACGGTAGCAGTCACTATCAATGGCCCTTTCAACGCGCCGTGTCTCTTGCAGACACTCCGAATGGAACGTGTTCATCATCAGGCGACACCCGAAGGGCGGCTTCATGAACCCGAGCGCGGTGCCCCGCGGCCCCTTCTGCAACTACTACGTCCACGAAGAGCAGGACGAGGGTATCATGATCGAAACGGATGTGCCTGTCAAGGAGGTGAGTGCAAGCCAGACAGATCAGGCGTGGCGGTCCAATGCGCTGAGATTCAGAAAAGACGTGGCGGTCCAAGGCGCTGATATTCAGAACAGTTACTATCAGACGCTGTCAAAGATTTAATTATGGTCATCAGGGCTGCCATCTGTACTGCCTTGTTAAAAGGAAAACCGAAATATACTCGGTTGCAGTTGTTGAAATCCTAATGTCATTAGCATTAGGTAAATTACGGTCAGTTGTGGTATAGATGAAGTCAAATTTCAGATGCTTTTGTGTGACACCACCTCTGGCAGAAAATGTTATTATCACTAGTACTCACACCCACACCCACATCCACACCCACACCGACACCCACACACCCACACCGACACCCACACACCCTCCCACACAACACACACACACATATATATATATATATATATATATATATATATATATATATATATATATATCCCTCCCTCCCCTCCAATAGCCAGTATGAGTAGACATGTAATAGCCAGGGCAACCAAAAACAAAAACCAAATGAAATATATATTTAAGCTGAAAACTTACCCATAGGCAAGGGAATGTTTTAAACAATGGCGCGGCCAGACACAGGGTGAATGTAAGGAACTATGACTTGGGAGTCTAGACAAGCCTGAGGAGGGGAATGCGGATGTTGTCCACCTGTTTTCTCCTAGTACATAACGCTCGCTTCTAAACTCACCATTCGGTTAACAAGCTACCCAAATTCCTAAGATTATACATGCGCCTCAATATTGTTTCGTGTCCACTGGAGAGAGGCATTTGAGTCATTGAGACATCTTCCTCCACAGTTAACATGCTAAAATGTGAGGTGTGCACAGGCTGGTCAGACTTTGGAGTTCGAATCCATCGTAGCCAGAGATTTGCTCCAGGGAAGGTCAAAGAAGACTGAAAAACTTGGAAGATTCCAAATTTTTCCACCCAGTTTTGGAAACGTTCAGGGGCTTTCCCCGATCGCGTTGCTGCCATCGGTCATCGCTTGGAGAGACTTGGATTACCCTGAGACCCCCCGATTTAAATGTCCCCGAAATGAGACTCCCCAAAAATCAAATCAGATTTTGGATTTCCTTGGAAGGTCATTTTTTAGTGCGCAATCGCCAGGGCTTTCTAGGGGAACAGTCGGATTCCCTGACGGACCGGTTAGAGATAGGTTAGCTAACCGATCGAGATCGGACTTTTGTCAGTGCGTAATCGCCATGGGCGATTTGAAAACGTTCCGGGCAACTCCCTTGAATAAATATTGGGAAAGTGTCCGAAAGAGGATAAAAATCCCAAAACCAAGTGTCTCACTAGCAAGGCTGATCCCAAGCATTCCATACCGGCATCGCTGGGGAACGGCTGGGATGTCCTGGCTGAAATCGGACAGAAAAAATCGGACAGAAAATGTTGGCTTTGATAGCTCATAGCACCCGAAATTGTTACGTGCGTGTGTTTTGCCGGCCACTTTTTAAGAGGGCGCGCTCCATACCAACTCAACCAGCCGAGTCCAATTATCTCAGGTCTGAACAAAACATGACCAATGCAGTTTTATCTCGTGCTATGGTCTTAATGCACTGAAGCTTCTGAGTTTGCTTCTGTCTAAAATGTTGCGTCAAAAACTCACCTCTGGCTCATTCCATGTCAGCTAAACCTCTTTAAGTGTGATTTAACACGCGCCCGGGTAGCCGGCTATATACCCTTCGCTCGGGCGGGGAGTCATTTTGACCCCCCTGAGATCTCGGAACTAAGCAAGCTAGAGGCACCAAATTTAGAGGGTGTGTTGAACTGTACGTAAGCTCCCTTAGGTCAAAGTTTGAGGTTCCTAGACCATGACCTTCGGGTATGATAAGGTCAAACGATGTCAAATTCCATATTGGTCTCCAATGTGCCCCAGGACCTAGATAACTGTTTCTAAGCAAAAGGCCACATGCTCATTTAAGGTCAGTGACCTTGTTTGACCTTTTGAAGGTCATGGTGACCGGCACCATGCAAGACCCGTCTGAGTTTTGCATTTGAATAAGCGACAAAGACCACGCTAGGCAGTATGTTTCTTGGTACAAAATGTTGACCTGGGTCATTTTAGGTCAACGACCTATTATGATCTCTTAGAAGTCCACGGAAGAGGTACAATGCGGCTCCTGCTATCAATAAATTTGAAATGAGCACCAGAAACTATCCCATACAGCAAGCAATAGAGTGATAAAATAGCCTGGTTTTGACCGTGGTCCGACCTTTATGCCTGACCTTAGGTCAACGTGATTTGCTCATTCAATATTTGTGTTGCCTAAGAAGGCATACCAGAGATGTATGGCTTCGTCTAACATTCCGTTGTTGCATCAGATTGAAGGATTCCCTAGAAATTGCCTTCGCTGAAACCATGGCCTGGCTTTGACCTGCCATAGGTCAGCGATCTTACAAGGTACATCTAAATTTTTATGCCAAACGATCCGCTAAGCAATTCCCAATAGCTATGCAAAATATGGCGTAGCCGCGCCGCGCTGTTCGGAAACAATTCTAGAAAAATCTTCGGGGGGGGGGGGGTAATTTGCCCCCCCCCCCACACCCGAGCGCGTGTTAAGACACCATCAGTTTGATTTGTCCGGCTGTGAGAGCGAGCTTGATGGGCCTGGCAGAGACGGAGACGGTTTTGTCAGAGTCCTGATGCGGCACCACCAGGACATTAGAATCCTTCTCGGGAACTTGTTTTCTGCATTCTGTGCACAGCTTGTCACCGGGGTACGAGTCACGAGAACGAACGGTGGTCAAAAATTAACATGTTGATGACAGGTCGCAGCCCTGTAATGGGCGCTCTATGTTTCGTGCTAAATGGGTCAACGCAAACACTCCTTTTGAAAGATATGAATGCTTCATAATCACAAGTGAGCCACAGCTGAGACGAGCGATGTCCTTGGGTGTGGGAAGGAAGCTGATAACCGCGACAACATCATCTTCCAAACAACTTCCAGTCGTCTGGAGTGATCTCTCTAGACCAGCACGGGAGGGGGCCGACAACTGACGGTAGCATGGGCGCGGGGCGGACCGGTCGGCAGGGGGCTGGGTGGCGCACGGGGCTGGCCGGCCCGGAGCGCTGTCGCGCCGGTCTGCGCGGCTATGACTGCATCCGCGCTGCGCGGGCGTATAACTAGTCTCCGCTTTTCCCTTGATAGGCACCGATGTAGATTTGGGCGGCAATTATGAAAATCAGGGTTTAGTACGAACCGAAGGTGTCATCAACTTGGCAAATTGAGTTTCTATGTCGGGAAAGCATTGTAAACCAATAATGATGCAAACAATTCCACATGTCTTGATATTGCTATCTAGGGCAGTGTATTGCCTATGTAATGTGGTTTCGGATAATAAAAAAATGTGCTATGGTTGCGGAGCATTGCTTAGCATTGTCTTTTCGTTGTTTTTCCATGACGTCGTCATCGTTTTACTCACCGTGTTTCCGTCACCATGTCATTTTGTCATTTGACACAGCATTTTAAACAGAAAGCAATTCAGAAGCTTCGAATGCTGTCTGCCGGAACGAGGTGACAAAACCCATAACAGCGAGGTTTCTCCTGTAACAAAAAAATCGGAGCAAAGTGTTTCTTTCGGCTACTCCTCATGTGAGCCCTGCTCCCGCGTGCCACCATCAGCCGCCACCCTGGCCCGGTTGCTGCCCCTCGACGGCGGCCGTCACCCTACTTCCCGTACGAGCCCTGCTCCCGCGTGCCACCATCAGCCGCCGCCCTGGCCTGGCTGCTGCCCTTCGACGGCGGCCGTCACCCTACTTCCCGTATGAGCCCTACTCCCACGCGCCACCGTCAGCCACCGCCCTGCCCCGGCTGCTGCCCCTCGACGGCGGCCGTCACCCTACTCCCCGTACAAGCCCTGCTCCCACGCGCCACCGTCAGCCGCCACCCTGGCCCGGTTGCTGCCCCTCGACGGCGCCCGGCACCCTACTCCCCGTACAAGCCCTGCTCCCGCGTGCCACCATTAGCCGCCACCCTGGCCCGGTTGCTGCCCCTCGACGGCGGCCGTCACCCTACTTCCCGTACGAGCCCTGCTCCCGTGTGCCACCATCAGCCGCCACCCTGGCCTGGCTGCTGCCCTTCGACGGCGGCCGTCACCCTACTTCCCGTATGAGCCCTACTCCCACGCGCCACCGTCAGCCACCGCCCTGCCCCGGCTGCTGCCCCTCGACGGCGGCCGTCACCCTACTCCCCGTGTGAACCCTACTCCCGCGCGCCACCGTCAGCCACCGCCCTGGCCCGGTTGCTGCCCCTCGACGGCGCCCGTCACCCTACTTCCCGTACAAGCCCTGCTCCCGCCCGCCACCGTCAGCCACCGCCCTGCCCCGGTTGCTGCCCCTCGACGGCGGCCGTCACCCTACTCCCCGTGTGAGCCCTACTCCCGCGCGCCGCCGTCAGCCACCGCCCTGGCCCGGTTGCTGCCCCTCGACGGCGCCCGGCACCCTACTCCCCGTACAAGCCCTGCTCCCACGCGCCACCGTCAGCCACCGCCCTGCCCCGGTTGCTGCCCCTCGACGGCGGCCGTCACCCTACTCCCCGTACAAGCCCTGCTCCCACGCGCCACCGTCAGCCGCCACCCTGGCCCGGTTGCTGCCCCTCGACGGCGGCCGGCACCCTACCCCCCTTACGAGCCCTGCTCCAGCGCGCCACCGTCAGCCGCCGCCCTGGCCCGGCTGCTGCCGCTCGACGGCGACTGCCACCCGTACAAATGACTACGACTTAATCGTCGGACTGTTTTGTTGCGCGTTGATGGATCGGCACCAACATGAACTGGTGCGTAAAGCATATGAGGCGCCTACTACAGTACCTTTTACAGATTTTTCCACCCTTACACAGCACATTGTAATATTTTGAAAACTGTGTGCCTGCTGCATGGATTGGTCCTCTATCCGAGACATGCATTAGCATTACCTTCCCTCTTCTCCAACGGAACCGACTTGATCCGATTTGTGTTTAAGATAAAGGTCTAATATAATTAAAGGT